ATAAGATTTGCACCTTTCTAAGCATGACTTTTGTGCAGAGTTTGCACCTCTTCGGCCCTGTCCCAAATGGCACACTCCGGACTTGTGGACAGAGTCCACACTTCGGTGACGTCATGTAGTGCAGACCTATAGGGCCCTTAGCGCGAGTCCGCGAGGGCGCATTGAGAGGTATTTTTGGGACAGACTCGATCGTCACGCCGGAAACAGGAAGACGGTCTGATTGTTGTTATGGACAGGAGCTACGGGTTCGGGGAAATATGCTGCCTATTGTTGTTGTGTTTACATATGACTCAGTAAAGCCCTGACATTCTGTTCTATTTATTTAATGAATCATAATTCGACCGTATTATTCAGCTCGCTATTATTAGCCTATGTTTGAGACATCAACCACTGGTCGATGATCATAATGTTTGCATAAACTTGTCATAAAAACCGTAATGATAATTACACTTAAATATTTTCTTCTCAGCCCAATTTAAGTCCACGAGACCGAAAGTCCGCATGAAGTGCGCCATTTGGGACAGGGCCTTCCTTTGTTTGGGCCTTCGGCTGTCATTTCCTGTAGCCTTTTTCTACTCATCTACTGCATCTGAAATTACATATACTGTCTGAGTAGGTTCTACATTTCAGAACTTCATGGCTGGTAAAAAAAAGTACGCATATGTAGTATGAATAAAGTATTATCAAACATGATTGTGTGTAGTAAATGCAATATGAATGTACTGCATTCATTGCTAGCATAATGTGAGTTAGAGTGAGTTGTGTTGTTTCCCTGCCACTCACGACTCCTCTCCCGTGGCCTCATGGGATAGTAAAGTGTCCATTAAATGTAAACCTCAGAATCTTGGCAGAAGCAGTACATCATCCAGGTACTTTTTTTTGCTTTCTGTATTATAAATACTGTGAATTCTGACATATAACCCATCTCACATACTGCTTTTAACCTACTATAAGCCCGTTCTCATCCCAAGGCGTCATACATGTGACGCTTTTGACATTTCGTCGAAATCTTACGCACATGGCATCCTTTAGCGGCAATATGAGACGCAGAACCCAAGGCGTCATACAGGTGACGCTCGTCTAAATCTGACCCACATGGCATCCTTTAGCGTCAATATGAGACGCAGATCCCAAGGCGTCATAACCGTACCCTACCCCAGACCTAAACCTACCCATAACAGTGCGTGTTATATTGACGCTAAAGGATGCCATGTGCGTAAGATTTCGACGAAATGTCATATGGCATCACCTATATGACGCCAAAGGATGAGAATGTTTTGGATATGCTTATTCAAACGGGGTTGGTGTCTGAGGCGTGACAATAATCAACAATGATCCATAAAGTTTCAAGAAAATAAATAGTATTATTGACAAAAATGTATCCAAAAATACTGTGTTGGGTCAAATTTGACTTTATGTATTCTTGGGGCACTGATACACACACGAAAAAGAAAATCCCCATGCACCCCTATGACCAAGAAACATGAGAAAGACATTGATTTGGGTCAGAAACTAGATTTTTGACAAATTAATTGAATATCAAATAGATAAATGTTTTCATTAATAAAATATTTCAAACATCAAGGCATACTGGGTCAATTTGACCCACTTTATGCATTCTATAGGGTTCAGATTAGATCATTTTGTTGTGTGCCTTTGTCATTTTTATATTTATTTTGTTAACACTTTACTTTCATGTTCTATATTCTACTAACCATAAGTAACTTTGCAACTATAACTAACTCTCATTAGAGTATTAGTAGACAGTCCACTATGTTTTACAAGTCTTTTTACTTAAAAATATCACATTTAATGCATTAGTTGCTGTTTCTCTTATAATTTGTGAAATCGACTTGCAATTTCTAAGTAAAATTTGTTTAAAAAAAAAGTAAATCCTGTGCTATTTTTTTTCCATTGCATATGGCCAATAAAATGATTACAGCCTCATGGTACATGTAAACATAAGTTGCTATGTGGTCTTACCTGAACATCTGTTTGTGTGCTCTCTATACAGGGACTATATTCTCCATCTCCATCAGCGCCAACATCTACACCTGCTGTAGACTCCAATTCCTCTGGATTAGCCATGACTTACTTCATACACTCATATTAACAGCGCTCACACATATACAGTTGGTTTTAGATTTGACTGGAGAAAGCAGAATATTTATGGAGTAAATATCACATTGATGTATAGCGAACTGTGATATTGGACAGAACACTCAAAACACAAAAGTTCAACACGCCCAATTTACCTAATAGAGTTATAAAGTCCATGTTGTCTGATTAGCTTGAAACGTCGTCTTTCCATTGATCTGTTCATTTTTAGTACTCTTCTTGTCTTCTTACCTCTCTCAATTACAGACTGACACAGACTCTTCGAGGTAGAGCGGGACATCTGATCGGGGAGTGCTGGGAGGTAGTGTCGCTGTGAGAGGGGATCGGATGACCCCGCACTCCCTCAATGCAGCTCAGCTTACAGAGAGGCCTGTGAACCTGATCAAATGCAGAGGTGGATGATGGAGGGGCTTTAAAAATGGAGGACAGGAATGGAGATATGGAAAAGATAATGATTCATTTTAATGAAATGAAAATGTACATGATATTGAGACTTTAGGGCCAGTTGGCCAAGACAAGGACCAGGAAATGCATTGTTGGGTTGGGACTGGGAGTGAACAAACTATTAGTTATGAGTTTATTTTCAGCATTTTTTTATTGTGGGTTAAATCTAACGTACTGCATTTGCATTACACACTGCAAATCTGAGCACAATGCTGATAGAAACAACAAAGACAATCTTTGAGAGGTTTTTTTTAAAAGTTTAACACAGTTTAAAGGCCTTATGTAGTTTTACTAATTGAACAGTTATGAAGACATGTAGACTGAATGCAATATAAACCTTGTGCCATTTAAATGCTTTGATAGTTTGAAGATTGATTTGAAGAGAGAGGGGATGAAGGTGGCGCTAGGAGATGGCTACAGGGCTTTGAGTGGTTGCTAAGGTGTTCCCAGGCAGTTCTGGCTGGTTGTTAGAGCAATAGGTGTTTACTAAGGTATGGCTATGTGGATAGATAGATAGATAGATTATAATGGTTTATGAATTCATTGTTTCCTTCTCGTCTCGTGTTACTGTTGTTATATGTGTGTGTGGGTGTGCGCGAGTGGGCGTTTCCACTCACCCATGTGGATTAGCGATCCAGCTGATCGCAATCTCCTCACCAGCTGCTGCCTATCAAATCACCTTTAAATACTCACCGCACTTTCCTCTCTTTGTCAGATCGTTGTTTGATGTCCTTCGTGTGTGTGAGATCCTGTTCCAGTCGGCGTTTTGTCCTGTTCCCGTCCTTGTTCCTCGTGTCACGTTCCGGTTCTGGATATTCCTCATCACTCATCATCTCTTCACTTCACGTCTGGACTACTGACCATCTTGTCCCTGCGTCACCAGTTGTTTTGTGTGTTCTGATATAAAATAAATAAAATAAAGAGTTTACCTGCATCTGTTTCCGTGTCTTTGATCGTGATATAGATAGATAGATAGATGAATGATAGATAGATATATATCATATACATAACTATGTTTTCAGTGGTGTATAAAGACCTTACTTAATGAACCGTTACATTTTTATTACCTTAGAATGATCCATTTCTATCTACATACACCGCGGGTCCCCTTACATTGAAATTGCCTTTTTGCGCCACCATGTTTCTACAGTGGCCCTAAACGGACAAACGAGTTTCGTCACCATGTTGTTCTTCGAGTAAAGAAGCTAGCTAAAGTCAGCGAATAAAACACTGACACGATGATGAACAAGTAACAATAATATTTGCAATCACATATCGTTTTACTAAATAATAAAGTAAACCTAATTTCTTAATTTATCTTTGTAAAGAAACCTCATTGTTTAACTGGCTACTCTCTGCTGTCTCAGACGACGACATATTTTCTTGTTGGCCACCGTAACTTCTGTTGGTTGCAATTCTCAACCCCACCACTAGATGCCGCTAAATATTACTCAGTGTACCTTGAAAAAATACTTGGATTGATGTGTTAATAATGCATGATTCCCATGTACTAGGGGGGATTTATGCTTGTTTCTATATCAGCATTAGGTGTGTTTTTGGAGCTGTTGTCATTGGAGAACCTTATGAAAGTCTAGACTGTTTTTCAACCTATTTACCTGTCATGTCTTATTCAGTAAGGAGTCAATTCAGCCTTTGAAGATTTTTTTCTTCTGCAAATTCCAACATTCAATGTCAGCATGTGTGCATCTCTTTAATTTGGAGTTCAGAACTGTCAGGCACATCATTTATTCGTACAATGATATAATGAGGCCTTCACATGCACAGCAGTAAAGTACACATCATTAAAATAATACATATCAAACTTATGTAGGACAAAATGATTCACAGAACACCCTGTCTGTATCAGTGTTGTTCTTGTTACAAAAGATAAATAAATTAAATAACTCATTCAAAAAATGAATAAATAATAATAGTATATAGGCTAAATAATAATAAAATAACACTATCATGTATTTAATCTCATTTACACATTAGATAGACAAATAAATAAAAACATAAATATTTACACATTCATTATATTCAAAATCACATTTTCATAATAAAGATCAAAGATGTCACATTCACAGGTCATTTACAATTAAAACGTTTTAAATAATAAAAAAAAAAAGTGAGAGAAAGTTTTGTTCAATCTGTGGGAAATTTTTTTTGCGGTAGGCTATGTTAAAAATAAATTACTGTTGTGCATCATTTCTAGACCGCTTTTACCTTTCACCAGACGTGTTCTATGACATTACAAGCTTGGGGCGTCATTTAAAAAAAATTCTTGTTGAAAGACACTGTGCAAAAAAAATAACTAAACCACTAACACTAAACACACAACAAGTCTGGTCACAGAATTAGTCCAGCGCTGACTACTTCAACCGCATGCACTGCTGTTTTACAAAGCCTATTTAGGTGCAGTCACAGCTAATTTCCCACAAACACTTTCTTCGTCTGTCCAGTAGAAGGGACAATTTATGTTTGTCAAAATGAGCTTACAGCACCCAGTGACTGCTTCATCATAGGTTTAAGTGTTGATGCTGCATGTAGTAGGCCTAGCTGGCAAGTTAGATATGATGTGTCAGATGAGAGTTTAGCGAGACAAGGGTTTGCGAGGAAGAAAGTGTGTGCAGGCCTGGTGGCGGCCTACCCTGTTGCCTTTCCTCAGCTTCCCTTGCTGGGACAGAGCGAGGAAAAACCCTGCGTGCCTCAGAGAGGAGTACGTGTTGTAGTGATTTTCTTCCATGCGCTCTTTAAACAGGCATTCATTTGAGAACTTCTTCTACAACAAAGAAGAGATTTAAATGTTCATGTATACCTTTGCAAACGCTTCATTATTTCAGGACGCACTTGAAAGGAATCGTGATTATACCTTTCAAAAAGCTTAAATGACTATGTAGACATAAGAGTTAAATATGACTCTGAGACATTTTATGCTTTGCCATCAAGTTGCCATGATGTCTTTTCTCACCATTCCATGAGCAATTCCTTCCTGATTCATGCACAAATACAGTTCACTCTTCACACCACGGATACCCACTATGCCCGGCCTCATAGCAAACACTCTCAGCAAGCCTAAAAGACAAACAGAGAATGAAGAAAAACTCATTAAATAGAAACGAAAGAAATGGGTGCAATATAAAGAAGATAAATCTGAATGAAAAATATTCTGTCAATTTCAAATGTGGAATATTTCCTCTGAGGGTTATGAGGGTTATAGGCATATAAATCATACTGTACTCAGAAGGCTCATGAACGCCCCACACACTGCCGTTCGCCAGGATCTGTAGGTGAAAACCAATCCCAACACGGCAATACAGGAGCTGATGTGTGACGAGACCTCGAGCTGGATTAGACTCGTCCACGGCTGCTGGGATATTCAAAGAGCAAAAATATTAATATCTCAAATCAGCTGAAACTCAGAGAGTGACATTTACAGTTAGAGGTCATTTTTGCAGCAAAAAACAAAAAAACAAAAAAACAATCAGGCGGCTGAAGGGGTGTATTCTGTGATACTTTATGTTTGTTATAATATTATTTTGCATTTGTCATTTATTGAGAATCAAAGTATAATTACGGTTAACAAACTGGTAATGATTACATCCATATCATTTTGTACAAATAACTCCCCTGCGAACACACAGCTCACAACACACACACAGCTCACATTTTTGCTATCACCAAAATATAATCAGTATGCGTCAGAGATCTGTCCTTGTGTCTTTGATTACTGTCAGCTAGACGGGATCTGATGCATACTGCATAATGAAAGATCCTGTGCATGAATGCTGCAGACTGAATTTGTCACTGCTGCCATTTTGCTAACATTCATTTCTCTGTCTCAGAGATAACCAGTATGATTTCAGCTTGATTCAGCTCTGCTTCAAGGTTGTGGGTTCAGAGATGCTCTTCTGCAGACCTCGGTTCGGTTGTATTGACTGTTTTTTTTAGTTGCTGTTGCTTTTCTATCAGCTGTCTGGCCAATCTCCTCTGACCTCTGGCATCAACAAGACATTTTCACTCACAGAACTGCCGCTCACTGAATATTTTTCTATTTTTTCAAATCATTCTCAGATGCTTGTGCATGAAAATCTTAGTAGATCAGCAATTCCTGAAATACCCAGACCAACCCGTCTGGCACTAACAACCATGCCATGTTCAAAGTCATTTAAATCCCCTTTCTTCCCCATTATGATGCTCAGTTTGAACTTCAGCAGATCGTCTTGACCATGTCTACAAGCCTAAATTGAGTTGCTGCAATGTGATTGGCTGATTAGATATTTGCATTAATGAGAAGTTGAAAGTGTCCAGTGACTGTATATGTTATATATGAGAGTTTCTGAACGCACTGAATACCTGGACGACTTTCTGCATTTTCCAATTTGTGCAACAATGTAGCATATTGTTTACTGTCAATTTTGTGTTACCTAAAAATACAGTGCGTATACACAGTATTCAGTTAGTAAGATAGTATTCCATATTATCTAATGTTGATTATAAATATGTTGTTTGTGGAGTAAAATACATGATGTAGTACCAGCTATGACACAAAACACGTTTTGACCATTTCACCTGTAAGTAAAGCATTTAAATGATGACAGAATTTTCATTTTTAAGTGAACTATTCCTTTAACATTAATCCTTATCCAGTAAAACAACTGGAGAAGTCATGCGGCATTCGAATATTGTTGTGGACAATCAGAGGGACCTTGGAGTCCAAAAGTTTAAGAACCACTGTGGTATTACTGTATGTCACATGACACTTTATTTTGTGTCATAAATAATGTGTGTATGTACAGGCCAGGCATCCCAGTACTTCATGAATTTTTTATTACAAAACGCAGACTAAGAGTAGGCTATCTTTATGACACTTTTTAATAACCTTCAACACAGGGCTGCAGATGACATATGTGTTCTGACAGTTGAACGAAGGACAGCTGTATACTAGACTTCATTACATGCATGTCTATATATACAAGACCAGTTGCTTAAAAACAGAACAAATGTACCAAGAGCTGGTTCTTCTTTTACACCAGTAGTAAGATCCAAAATAGACACTTGCGTCTCTAGATTTCCATTACAATACATATCTTTGGAGGGCGTTTTCTCAAAATGTGTTTTTTTTTTCTCATGCACTAAGCCAGAAATCTGCACTTCATTAGCACTTACTTACATTAGAGTACAGTATTACTTTACAGTTTTATTCCTATCTAAATTCTAATGTTTTTTTTACAGAGGGGTTTGTTCATCAGTTGCTTTATTAAACCTTTTCTCATAAAAACATTGCGATTTGTTTCCAAAATGTGAATTAGTGCATAATTAATTAGATAATGCCTCATTTGCATATGCAATCATAACATTTCAGAAAACTTGTAACTGGGGAAGTATAGTGATATCTATGAGTTAGCATTCCTCTATTCACCTGTGGTGCCTTGCCTTCATGAATTTACAAAGAAAATGACTGATCTGTAATGTTTTTACACTGATGTTTTTAGGATTAACATTTCCATGAATACTAAAAAGGTGTTTTGTGTGATCTTACCTTTCTCTCTCCTCTTTGCATCCCTCATTGAGAGCAGCCACATGTGTCTCAAGCGGCCTGCCTGGTCACCTGACAAATGGGTTTCTTCATCTGTGCAGTTGCAGCTTACACAAAATGACAATGCAACTGCTATAAAGCATAAAAGCATGCAGTGGAAATCCATGACGAGGGCATCAGGTCCACAAATACCCATATGGCCTCTAGGTGAAGCGCTTTGACATGCTGTCAGCTTGTGGTGGCACCTGTGATAGCGTCTCTGAGGCCCAGTTTCCTTCCTGAAATCACCAGTCTTGTGGCTGATATATAGAGCCTCTTCCGATGTGAAGCTAGATGAACATTGTGTTCTCCACTCAGTGTAAACATACTTCACTACACAGGGTCAGTGTGCCTCCAGTCGTCCTATCTCCATCCTTTAAACATATATCTTCTGCTCTGATACCTTCACTAAATGAACAAACCCACGCAGATACACTTTTGCGTCTGTGTACATGACTACATAAGAATATCTTCTGCGTTATCACTAGAGTGATATCTCCTCATTCATGCATTGTGATGTTGTAGGATGTCACAGGCATGAAGTGTTGGAATTGTATGAAGGCCCTCAAGGGGTGAGGCCTCAGTTTGGTTCCATGACTTTAATTTTATTAGCATGTGGGTCTAGGACTAAAAATGCAAATGTTTTTAGTGTATGGATGGACGGATGTACCATAATAGTGTAATTTAAGACAAAGGAAACAGCAACAGTTAACAGTGCTTCTTGTGTGGGAATATGGAATGTCTTTGTCCACTGGATTGTGAGTTTCCAATAAGACGAGATTAAAGTGGGTGATGATAAGTCAGTTTCTTTGTTTATGAATCGGAGGCCTCAGACAGCAGGTTCTGACGTATGTGCTCTATGTTCTCTGAAAGCACAAAATGTCTAAATCATTAGGAAGAAAATGATATGCCTCATATCTCAGGTTGTGTCAATATTAGCTCTGACCATTTGCTATCATGGCAAGCGGATGCTGCGGAACTGTGTAGTTTAGTGGAAACTTAATGCTGTATAAGTTACAAAGGGAAACAAGTTATTGACACAGACAGATCAAAGTAAAAGACTGATCTGAAAGGTAGAGCAGTTTGTAGTCCTAAAATCAGGAAGTAAAAATAATCAGAGGTTTCCTTCTGAAAGTTATAGTAAGTTTTCATAATTGCACTTTTGGATTTATGAATTATATGTTCTGTGGTTATTGATTAACATCACTGGAAGAGATTTTCAGAACATAAATTCCATAGTCATACCATACCTCAAACAGATGTAGCAACATATTTTCTTCTGTATTGTGACATATACAGTATCTGAGTGGATTAAAGGTAGGGACGGGTTGTTGTCAATTTCGGAGAGGCTAGCAATAGCAAGCTAGTTTTGATAGCATTAGATCCCACCCTCCCTTCAGAGAGGTCATCTCCAAAGACACGCCTCCTTCAAAACACGTGAACACGCACAGCCAGAGCATTACCTCATGTCTCAAAGCCCATACCATAATAATAATAATAAATGTAAAAAAATTAAAAAGCTCTGACCTGTACTAGCCTATCTGACTGCTGCAGGTTCATTTCGGCGTTGATAGTGTTGCTGCCAGAGAAACGCATAAATCCGAGTCTGAGGACGTAAACGTCAAGGGCTGCAATCTTGTACAGTTACAACATGGCGTGAACACAGCATAAGCTCGTTGTTTTGGTTCAGGGGGAGCTGTAAAAGGCGGCGGATGTTTGTTTGTGGTGCTCGGTGACTGTCTGTCTAATAACTCTGCACAGCCTTGAGGAACGAGTTAATGACGTGTGATGTCTGTGAAAGCATGTGCGCGGAGGTATGAAAATACATATGTTGACACAGGCACGTAGGACATTGTATCAATGCATTCTGACCTAATTTAAAAAAAAAATATTTAGACCACTATTATTGTGGTCTATTATTGATTGCTATCAGGATGGGAAGAGAGTTTCAACCAGTATAACAAAAAATTGGAAAGATTTTATGGAAAATATTTTGCTTACCCTACCTTTAAGTGATCAAAGAGATGTCTGTCATTTTCACTGGAAGATCCAGTTATGACATTTTGATTAAAAATTACTCTGTCAAAAATGTAAATAAAATAAAATAAAACATAAACATTGATGATTTGTTCACAATAAGATCTGTTACTTGCATTAAGAAAATAGACAGGTGAATTTTAATTTCATGCAAACTTTTATAAAATGTGTATAATTAAAAAAACACAGGTAATTGAACTTAAACTTAAAACACTTAAACAAACACTTAAACTTGGCCTACACATTTTTGAGTGATAGCACTTTGTAATTGTTACAAAACAATTGTTAATTAATAATCAAGCTTATCTTGAGGAATTGTGTGTTTTTTATTGTCAAATGTGGCTTATTTGAGAATGGATAAAAATTTACAAAAGGTTTTGATACAAGGTGTGTTTGTTTTGAATGTATTTGAACTCTATGTCATTATTCTCTCCATGTGGAGTGTGACCACATGCAAATAGCACTAAGTAACTTTATTAAACCTTTTTTAAAAGCAGTGCTTTAATTCTGCATTAACCAGAGATGCTTAGATGATCTTGGAACGCGGACAATCGTTTCTTTTTTCTTTTCACTCTGACATTCTAACTTTGACGCGATTGGTCAATTCTTGTCAACACTCTGAGAGCTCAGTCTTAGGTGTCCTCGGCAGACGCCTGAAAGAAAAAGCGGAAAGCGCCCATCCATGTAGGCTATGCAATGAGCAGTGAAAGCTGATGAATGTTTGTTATTACTGAAGTGTCTTTTTGTTGTATCTACTACGGTCGATCGCTTTGTCCTCTTTAAGGCTACTGTGACATTTTAATGAGAATATTAAAGCTAGTTGTGTTTTGATTTAAGCTAACGTCATAAGCATAAAGCATGGACTGCAGAGTTCTGTCAGTTCAAAGTCATGTTGTCAGAGGATATGTGGGAAACAAATCTGCATCGTTTCCTTTGCAGGTAAGAGACAGTAGCTTTTGCAGTGCATTAGATGTCTGCAGCGACATTTACAGTTTTAACGTAGTTGTTATGCAACTAATTTTCAAACTCATTCGCATCCACAGCCATTACAACAATAAAAACAGCGTTAGTTTCCCTCTACAATGCATGTCAGTATGTAAAATATGTTTTCATAACCTGTGTCACTGCTGTAATAGGTGCTGGGCTTTGAAGTGGACACTATAAACTCTGTGCAGTTCTCCAATCACACAGGTAAATAACTGCTGCTTCCATTAAAGCAAAAGAAGGACAGACCAACATTCCGAAATGTATTTTTCAGTTTAAGTTTTAGCTCAAAATATATGCTAATGACGATGATTAAAAACATGTATAAAATAGTTTAAGGTTAATAATAGATTGTCACAATGGAGGACTCTGCTGAAATGGCACAGAAGGTCATGTCAATAACCCAATCACTGTTGCATTGTTCCCATCAAATCATTATGCAATCAAGGCTGAAGTTCAAATTAGTTGTTCAGAATTGATTTTGATGAAGCATTACTAATTACTCCTCTTGGCCAGTTTTTTTCTGAAAAGCATTGTTGCAGACTTTTTGTTGCAGAACATGTGAAAGTAGTATAGGCCTATACTTATATATATATATATATATAAGGATTGTTAAATCATATATAAAAGGATTGCTAAAGCACAATGTAATGTTAATGTTTAAAAGAAAGAGTAAGAAAATGTAAATAATTATATCTGGGTGAGTTTATCTTGGTACTGTTTAACCTTCTTGGTGTGGAAATGTTTTCATCATGTCACTGCTTAAAGCTCAGCTTTTTGTTTCACAGCATGTGGCAGTATTATTTTCCTTTCAGTGAAGCAAAGCTGTATAAGCTCAGTATGATATTTTCCACAGCTTTTTTCCAGTTATGTCTGTATTCAGAAGTGCAAAACAGGTGGTGGTTTGCTCCTTTTTTAATCTTGATATAAAGGTACCACACATTCAGTTATTGAAAAAACTAAATATAAAACTAAATAAACCATACAAACAATGGACTGTCAGTTTGTGTATTAGTGGTGGGGATAGTATGGACATTGAGACGCAGGGTATGAATCATTCATTCAATATACTGATTCAAGAATGTTTTTTACATTTACAATTTAAAGGGATAGTTCACCCAAAGATGTCAGTTATTACTCACCCTCATGTCGTTCCAAACCCGCAAGACTTTCATTTATCTTCAGAACACAAATGAAGATCTTTTTGATAAAATCGGAGAGAGCTTTCTGTCCCTCCATTAATAGCTACGCAACTACCATTTGCAAGCCCTGGAAAGGTAGTAAAGACAGCATGAAAGTAATCCACGTAATCCCCAATTTTATAAAGTGACGCGAGTGCTTTGTTTGCTCACCCATAAACATAATTTTCCACTTTAATTATCTCCAACGCATGTTCATGTAACAACACCTGCTCTGATGTCAACACAACACACATGCGGCCTGATGCTCTCGTGAGCGTGTGCTGGAGACTAATATTTTGAAAATAAAGTGGTAAATTGTTTTTTTCCGTTTTTTCTCGCGTCGCTTCATAAAACTGAGAGTCACATGGATCACTTTAATGATGTCTTTACTACCTTTCTGGGGCTTGAAAGTGGTAGTTGCGTAGACTGTCAATGGAGGGACAGAAAGTCATTTTCATTTTTGGGTGAATGAAGGGTTGTGGAGTGGTTAAGTTAATAGGTGGAGTTGGCAGCTCATTCCAACAGAGGGGAGCAGAGATGGTGAATGTTTTGGAAAGTGACTTTTTGCCTAATTTTCAAGTAACAAGAAGACAATTCTTGTTCAGTTTCTTTAGCTGCCAGCAGGGGGAGTGTATTATCAAGGCGGAGTGTAGAGATAGAACAAAGAGTGTCCGTTGCTTTAAGAGAAGTGGAGTGGTTAGTGTGTGACGGACCCAGAGGGACAAAGGGAGAAGTGTGTAGGAGAGACCGTTGCAGTGGTTATGTGGCCAATTCTTTTGAGGGTGTGTTGCTACGAGCCAGACAAGGAATGTTTTCGCATGCTCTTGAGCTCATGCTGTTCACATGATCCACCCTGCTTTATTCTTCTGTGTGAGCAGGAATATAACAATCCTCCTGTTCAGGGTTATGGCTTTTGATTTCACACCTAATTTCTCACACTATTTTGTATGTTCATTTGTCTTCAGAGTTAAATGTGGTGAGAACGAAGCTAAACAAAATTCTATCGTTACTAATCCCCTTGTTAAGTGACTCTATGTAACGTGGGATATGACTCAGTTTGAACACTGCAGCATTGAAATCAGTCACCGAATGGGTCATTCTTTAAATTTAAGTCAAGTCAAGTCACCTTTATTTATATAGCGCTTTTTACAATACAGATTGTATCAAAGCAGCCTCACAGTGATAACATGAAAATAATATAACAAAGTTTGTTTCTAAAAGAAAATTGCGTCAACGTCCACCTTAAGTAAGCCAGATCAATAATATTATTGAATATTAAATGTCCCCAACTAAGCAAGCCAAAAGCCAAGGCAACAGTGGCAAGGAACCAAAACTCCATCAGGTGACAGAATGGAGAAAAAAACCTCGGGAGAAACAAGACTCAGTCGGAGGGCCAGTTCTCCTCTGACCAACGAAGGAACAGTGCATGATTCGGGCAGCATTACAAGTCAGATTGGATCGGAACATTTAGAGTATTTATCCATTTCCATCTTTTTGGAAGTCCAAGTAATCACGCCGGGATTGAGACGAGTTGTTGAGGATCAGTGCCGTCCACCATTGAGACTCCATATCGCCGGTGTTGAGTCGTCTCTTCACAGGCTTTGTGATTGGGGCATCTGAAGTTTTATAATATTAAATGCATTTGATCTGATTCAGCAGTGGTATAAAAGGTAAGCATTATGTAAATGCTTGGCTAAAGAGATGCGTCTTTAATCTAGTTTTAAACTGGGACAGCGAGTCAGAGCCTCGAACAATATCAGGAAGGCTATTCCAGAGTTTTGGAGCTAAATGTGAGAACGCCCTCCCTCCTTTAGTGGATTTAGATATCCTAGGAATGACCAGAAGCCTCGAATTTAGTGATCTTAAAGAACGCGATGGATTGTAGGGCGATAGAAGGTCCATTAAATACACAGGAGCTAAACCATTTAGGGCTTTATAGGTCAGTAATAGTACTTTGTAATTCATACGGAACTTGATAGGTAACCAGTGCAGAGATGATAGAATCGGTGTTATATGATCATATTTTCTTGACCTAGTAAGAACTCTAGCGGCTGCATTTTGCACTAACTGTAGCTTGTTTATTGAGGATGCAGGACAACGGGCTAATAAAGCATTACAGTAATCTAGTCTCGAGGTCATGAATGCATGAACTAACTTTTCTGCATCAGAAACAGATAGCAGGTTACGTAGCTTTGTAATGTTTCTAAGGTGGAAAAAGGCTGTTCTTGTAACATTTGAAATATGATTTTCGAAAGACAAGTTGCGGTCTAGTATAACTCCCAGGTCTTTTACTGTAGTGGATAAAGTAACAGGACATCCTTCTATATTAAAGTTGTATTATAAGTGGTTTTGTGGGTAGTTTTTTGGACCAATAAGTAATACCTCCGTTTTATCTGAATTTAGTAGCAGGAAATTACACGTCATCCAGCATTTTATATCTTTGAGACACTCTGTCAAATTAGATAAGTTAGTGTTTTCATCTGGCCGTGATGAAATATATAATTGAGTGTCATCAGCATAACAGTGGAAATTAATTCCATGTTTTCTTATAATATTACCAAGTGGCAGCATATATATTGAGAATAGCAGAGGGCCTAACACCGATCCTTGCGGCACTCCATAGTCTACTGACGTTATCTTCGATTTTTCCCCATTTAAACAAACAAAATGGTAACGGTCCGATAAGTACGATCTGAACCAGCTTAATGCCTGTCCCTGAACACCAGTGTAGTTTTGTAATCGATCCAAGAGTATTTTATGATCGATTTATGATCGATTGAGAACTAGTATTGAGATACAGCCTTGGTCAGAAGCTAAAAGTAAATCATTTGTAATTTTAACTAGCGCAGTTTCTGTGCTATGATGCGGTCTGAATCCTGACTGAAATTTTTCATATATCTCATTTTCTTGCAAGAAAGAGCACAATTGAGCGGACACAATTTTTTCTAGTATTTTAGACATAAATGGAAGATTAGAAATGGGTCTGTAATTTGCTAAGTTATTTGGATCTAATTGCGGTTTCTTAATGAGAGTTTGTATTACTGTCAGCTTGAATATTCTTGGAACATGACCTAAAAATAAAGACGAGTTAATAATATTAAGAAGAGGCTCTTCCACTACAGGTAACACTTCTTTCAGAAGTTTAGTGGGTATTGGATCTAATAAACATGTTGTTGGTTTAGATGCAATGATAAGTTTATTTAGCTATTCCTGTCCTATAGTTGTAAAGTGGTGTAGTTGTTCCAGAGGGGCCATAGTTGTGGCTGAATCATAAGACACCATAAAAGAGTGTACATTTACAATTGTGTTTCGGATGCTTTCTATTTTCTCATTAAAGTAGTTCATAAAATCATTACTACTATACTGTAACGGAATATTTTGCTCTGGTGATGTCTGTTTATTTGTTAGTCTAGCCACGGTGTTAAATAAAAACCTTGGATTATTTTGGTGATTTTCTATTAGTTTGCGGAGATGCTCAGCCCTGGCTGCTTTTAGAGCCTTTTTATAACGTGACATACTGTCTTTCCACGTGATTCTAAAGACCTTTAAATTAGTTTGTTTCCATTTACGCTCTAGGTTACGAGTTTCTCTTTTGATAACATGCGTAGCACTGTTGTACCATGGTGCTTTAAATTTAAGAGAGGAAAAAAGAAAAAAAAGAAAGTTTATTGTAGAGCATTCAGAATCACATGATAAAACCATTAGTTAGAGAGGCTGAAGAAGATTGCCCTGAAACGCCTTTTGACTTTCTCAGTTTGTGTAAACCTACTAAGTATTTATTTTTCCCTGCATTCATTTCCCACATGTCTACTACAATTATGTGGTTTTGTTTTAATACAGTGTATAATTTTTTCCTGATAGCCCGAAATAATGGTAGTGAAATGTGATAACATGCCGTAGGGGCAAATTGTAACGACCAAATGACAGCTTAAAATACAATGTTATCTGATCTAAGCAAAAAAATACACAAGACAAACTTAAATATTTTGTCAATAAAATACAATTATTAACTTCTTCATATAAAAT